CCGGGAACCGGCTCATCCCGGTCCTACACCCAGTTTAGAGAGGTTGGGGGGTGCTGTACTTCCTAACGCCAGACTCTCACCCACCAGGACCATCAGGCTCTCGGTATCCACAGAGGGCAGGCCCCAGTCTCCTCTCCAGCAAAACAGCTCCAAGGGAGCCGCCATTGCCCATCCGTCCGGCGGAAGTGAACCCAGCTGACCCGGAAACAAACCTTCTTCCGGTTGAAGCGTTCCAGACACTGAGTGAGGGAAGGGTGTGAAATGACCATGTTGTCTCTTCATTTTCCTTTCATTATTCACCATGATTTATTTATTATCCACCCAGTCTAGACAGTGACATTTATGTATTATATACTGGGACTGTATTTTGTAATATATTCGTTATTCTAGGCTGGTCACTGTCATGTATTCATTATGTACAAAGACAAGGACAGTGTAGTTACGCCTTGTTATAAGAAGGATAATATTAAACTGGAGAGAATTCAGAAAAGATTTACCAGGATGTTGCTGGGAATGGAGGTTTGGAGATGTAAAAATAGACTGGAAAGGCTGGAATGATTTAACTGGAGCATAGGAGATATTTGGGTAATCTTGTTGATGTTTATAAAATCATAAGGGGCACAGATAAAGTGAATGACAAGGGTCTGTTCTTTAGGGTGGGGGAGTTCAAAACTAGGGGGCAAATCTTTAAAGTGATTGTCCAATTCCAGTGTATAACATATCTTATGCTGTCCAGTTTTGGTTTATAATGAATATATAACACTGTCCTGACTAGGTGCATAATGAATAAATTACACTGTCCAGATTGGGTGCATAATGAGTACATCACGCTGTTCAGATTGGGTGAATAATGAATATATTATACTGTTCAGATTGGGTGAATAATGAATAAATTATACTGGCCAGATTATACTATTCTTTTATGTATTTTGATTTGAAGATATTCACTGGGAACTATGAGCTAAAGATGACTTATGGACTATGGATAACAGCTTGGGTTTAAAGTAAAACAGACCAAACAAGCTTTTGTTTATTTGTGAGGCCAGTCTTGGAAGTTAATTGCAGATCCTTTCCTGATCAAAAGCTTCAGGACCAGAAAAGAGCATTATGTTTAAACAGACAGCAGAAGTTGGCTATTAACAAGGTCAGTACATGCGAACTGGAAAAGCCCTTATGTCTCTTAAGAGAATCTGGAATTGACCTTATGCTCAAACAGATGGCAGATGTTTAATAGTGACTAGGATCTCATGCAGGAGACGATCAATCTGTCAGGGAATGGTCCAAATTTGAATTGGGTTTTCTGTGGAAAAAAAGGAGTCTGGATGTTGATGTTACAGCATGAAGATTTGACAGCTCTCTGCCTAACCTCCCACGATCAGCCTTGTGAATGGGTTTTAGGTTTAAATCATAGATTAATTAGATTGTTTTGTTATTAATTTTACTTAACTGAAGTTACATTGCTAATAAATTGCTAAACCTTTTGTTAAACTGGTGTCTGGTATTGATTATTCTGAAAGTCTGGGTTTGGTTATTCAAAATGTCTGGAAGGAACCAGTGGGGTCAATTTTGAAGTTTTAATTTTACTGTTGTTGTGAATACAAAAGTAGAAAGTTTGTTTTGGTTCAGCTGTATCTAACCCCATGCATAATCTGTCCTGGAAGTATTTGATGGGAACAGTGTAAAGGGAGCTTCATGTTCAGTTTAAAAGAATAGAGAGAGCTTTATTTTCAGTTTGAAAGAATAGAGGGAGTTTTACTCTGTATTTAGCTCTGTGCTGTACCCATCCTGGGAGTGTTTGAGGGACAGTGAATGAGACTTTTACTCTCAGTTTTAAAAAGTAGAGAGAGCTTTACTGTGTATCTAACCACATTCTGTACCTATCCTGGTATTGTTTGATTCGGACATAGTGGAGGCAGCTTTACTTTCAGTTTAAGGGAGTAGAGGTAGGTTTACTCTGTTACTAACACCATGCTGTATTTGTCCTGGGAATGTTTAATGGAGACAATGTCAAGGGAGCTTTATTTTCAGTTTAAAAGTGTACAGGGAGGCTTATTATGAGCATAACAAAATGCTGTACCTGCCTGGGAGTGTTTGATGGGGACAGTATCGAGCTTTCCTATCAGTTTAAAAGAGTAGAGATAGCTTTACTTTCAGTTAAAAGAGTAAAGGAAGCTTTACTCTGTATCTGACTCCATGATATCCCTGTCCTGGGAGCGTTTGATGAGGATAGTAGAGCATTCTCTATATATCAGTTTAAAACAGAAGAACAGGCTTTACTCTGTATCTAACCCTGTGCTGACTGTGTCCTGGAAGTGTTTGATGGGAACATTTGTAGAGGCAGTTTTATTCTGTATCTAACGCCCTGCTGCACTTGTTCTGGGAGTGTTTGATGAGAACAGTGCCAGAGGGAGCTATACTTTCTGTTGAAAAGAGGGGAGGGAACTTTACTTTCAGATTAAAAAGAGCAGAGGAAGCTTTATCTACCCACATGCTTTAACTGTTCTGAAGTATTCTATGGAGACATTGTAGAGAGAGCTTTACTCTGCATCGAACCCTATGCTGTCCCTGTCCTGGGAGAGTTTGATGGTGACAGGTAGCTTTATTTTGCTCCCTGGTAATGCTCACCTACAATCCTGACACCAGGCAGAAGATACAGAAGCTTGAACACACGCTCCAATAGTTTCAAGAACAGCTTCTTCCCTGCCGTTATTAGACTGATGAATGGACCTCTCTAACTTCAAATAATGCTGATCTTGTTAATGTTGATCTTGTCTAGCGCACATCCTGTGCAGTATAACCTGTATGCTTTACTCTGTCCGAGTTTTTTTTTCACCCTATGATCTGCATGTCCTTGCTTACTATGGTCTGCCTGTTCTGATTGCAAACAAAGCTTTTCACTGTATTTAGGTACATGTGACAATAAATCAAATCAAATCACTTTTGGTTTAAAAAGATTAGAGACAGCTTTACTCTGTATCTAACCCTATGCTGTACCTGTTCTGGGATATGATGGGCACAGTGTCGAGCAGACCTTACTTTCAGTGTAAGAAAGAAAAATGGTAGCATTTGTTGTACCTTATCTGTCTTTGTTCAAAGCTGATGCTGGCGGAGCAAAGAATCAAAATGTGATTTGATCTTCAGTTGTAACATGCTCCAACTTGCTGTTTTTCTCAAATGTGGTAATCTAATCATAACTGAGAGGTTTTCCAAGAATTCATCCACTTAACTGATCACATTTTTGTTGACAGGTCAAGCACTATTGAATCTATTGAGGCTTGTGCTGTTATCGATGAGGCAATTTTTGTAAGTACGCAAACAAATCGAGTGAGCTGGCGCTGGGAATTAGCCCTAGTTTGACCTTTTGTAATGAATGAGTTTCCGATGGGACTTTGCTAGTGTTGGATTTGAGATTGGCCACAGGTCTGATGGGGATTTCCAATCGGTATTGAGTGGTGGGGGAGGCAGTATGTGAATGAAATGCTTCAGTTAGAAACAGGCGCCGAGACGAAGTGAAGCAACATGACACAGATGGATGAGGTGTCGAGAAATGCTGGCAGAAATGCTACATGGTTATGATAATTCCATGGAACAGAAATCCAGCTGTTTTGTATCACGGTGGGTAGTGTACATGTGGAAAGTGCTTTCAACACGAACCTCTGTCACACACTGTTCAAAGATGAAAAATTGTTATTGAACAGTTGATGATGAGAGAAACAAAATTAAAAGTCACATTGGTGAAATCTATCATCCTGAACTCAATAAGAACAAGTACTTTGATAGAACCATCGGGAACCCACTTTAGTCACTTAGGAAGTAAAAAGATCATACTGTCTGCTCACTGAGAGGGGATGGGTAGTTGGAATGTCTGCTCCCTGATAGTTTATGAAATCTTTTCACCCAGTATCCAAAAGCCTGTCCTGTTCGAGGACAGAAATTAAATTTCGTTTTGTTTACACTAAGCCTGGGCAAAAGAAAATGATAAGCACCAAAACATCTTGAATATAATCCACACTTAACCTCAGCTGTTCACATGCTGGTGTTTTCTCCAAGACAGTTCGTGAGTGTTGTGGGTGTGAGGAAAAAAACATTAACACCCGTCAGCATTCACCAACTAGCAGGCTTGTGTGAAACCTCACAAACTGCTTTCAAGGTGCAAGAACAGAGGCTTATTTTGCAGTTCCATACACTCGCACACTAGCACCAGTGCTCCAAGGTGCTGATTCAGACTGACCTACAAATCCTGAGTGACCAGGTACACACTGTTGCCTTTCCCTGGAGGCAAGTACTGAGAGCGAAACAAAACCTATCAGGGCAACACACTGTTCACACTGAGTGACTGAGAGCAGAATCTACTGTGATTTCTGCTCTGTACGGTCAACAGGTCGACAAGAGACAAATTGCTCCGAGTTGGTGCAGAATAAATCTGGTTGTCATGGACATGTTGGACCAAAGGGACTGTTTCCATGCTGTCGATCTCTGTGAATCTATCAAACACCTGGACTCTCTCTCTTTGGGCTCCCGGTTTACTCCGGGACTGATCCCTGTCTCTCTCTCTCT